TATTTTCAGGGCCAGCCGATTTAACAAAGGGAAAGAGGAGAGAGGCTGGACTGGAGTTGCGCCCTTATCCGCGTCGGGCTGTCCGAAGATCACCTTTTTCTGAGCCTCTGGAGAGCCTGCTAGAACTGTGTGGAACCCCAGTGTCTGCTCCAGTCCCACAATGCCCGCCAGTGTCGGCTCCAGCTCTAGAGCAAGCTCCTTCTCCTGTTAACTATGCTCTCCCTTCTCAAACCACCAGACGGAGGAGGCGTAGGAACAGGACTGCTCACGCCCCAGAGCGCCCGCCAGTGTCGGCTCCAGCCCCAGAGCGCCCGCCAGTGTCGGCTCCAGTCCCAGAGCGCCCGCCAGTGTCGGCTCCAGCCCCAGAGCGCCCGCAAGTGTCGGCTCCAGCCCCAGAGCGCCCGCCAGTGTCGGCTCCAGCCCCAGAGCGCCCGCCAGTGTCGGCTCCAGCCCCAGAGCGCCCGCCAGTGTCGGCTCCAGCCCCAGAGCGCAGTACAATGCCAGTTCTAGTCCGGCTCCTGGCTTTACCGGCACCACCCAGGGTCCTCGCCCTGCCTGCCCAAGCCCGGCTCCTCGCCCTGCCGGCCCCAGCCCGGCTCCTCGCCCTGCCGGCCCCAGCCCGGCTCCTGGCATTACCAACGCCATCCAGACGTCTTGCCCTGCCGGCACCCCCCAGACGTCTTGCCCTGCCGGCCCCAGTCCGGCTCCATGCCCTGCCGGTTCCAGTCCAGCTGCCTCCTGTCCCCCCGGCTCCAGTCCAGCTGCCTCCAGTTCCGCCGGCTCCAGTCCAGCTGCCTCCAATTCCGCCGGCTCCAGTCCAGCTTCCTCCAGTCTCGCCGGCTCCAGTCCAGCTGCCTCCAGTCTCGCCGGCTCCAGTCCAGCTGCCTCCAGTCTCGCCGGCTCCAGTCCAGCTGCCTCCAGTCTCGCCGGCTCCAGTCCAGCTGCCTCCAGTCTCGCCGGCTCCAGTCCAGCTGCCTCTAGTCTCGCCGGCTCCAGCCCAGCTGCCTCCAGTCTCGCCGGCTCCAGCCCAGCTGCCTCCAGTCCCGCCGGCTCCAGCCCAGCTGCCTCCAGTCCCGCCGGCTCCAGTCCAGCTGCCTCCAGTCCCGCCGGCTCCTGTCCAGTTGCCTCTCCACCCGGCTCTCCTAAGAACTCCTGCCTTGTGTTTCCTGCAGGATCATCCATGGATCATCCCTCCCGCCCCTCCCTGGTGGTCCTTCCCACTGTATGGGACGGATTCCCCGGCCGCACCATGGCTTCTTGCCGGGGCGCCTGAAGCACAGACTTGCCCTGATCTGGCCCTCCCATCCCTCCCTTTGTTCTTGCTCTGCTCTGCCACCCCCCCTTTCTGGGAGCGTCTGGAAGCCGCTTTTTAGAGAGGGGGTAATGTCACATCCGTCAGTGACCACCTGAGGGCGCTGTAGTGCACTAGGACTTGTAGGCACTGCAGCGCTCCAGTAAAGAACTACATTCTCATACATCCCACGCGCATACACCGGAACACTTACACTGACCCGTCATCTCATCTGTTCTGTGTTACTGTTGATTATCTGGACTATATATTCTACCATTACACCTTTGTTTGTCATCGCGTCGTTTGTCCTTCTTGTCTTTCCTGCCGCAGTTTTCCCAGTAAGTCTGATATTCGAGTTTTGATTCTTGAGCCTTGTCTTTGTTTTTTGTTTCTTGTTTTGTTATTTATTTGTACTTTGAGCACCTTGTTTAACTGTTGATGCACACTGTAAATAAACCGCACTTGGATCCGCACCTTTCTGTTTTTTGTTTCTTGTTTTGATCACGCCAAACGTGACAGTTTTCTTTCCCTTATTTATTTATTTATTTGTTTGGTGCATGAACTCGTGTGCGATCAGGAAAGTTTCTGCCTCTCTTTTCACTCCGCCCCGAAGCCGCAGCTAGCCCTCCTTGGCCCAAGGCATTCGACGGGCCGAAAAAGGCCCGATTAGGACCCGGAAGTTACAGTGGAAACACAACTGACCTTGGCTCACCCTGGCTCGCTTACTTTAGGCATGATAGCACAAACGCAACTAATGAAACCACTGGAGCTTTAGCAATCATTGTTTAACAGGCCTATAAACACCATTTACAATGAGAATGTTTGAACTATGGAAGAACTCAAAAACACACAGACATTAACAATTAGGGTGCTTTCACACCTACACTTTTGTTTCGGAACGTATCTCGTTTGCCCAGTTAGAGCGGTTCGATTGGCATATGTGAACAGGGCAATCGCGCTCTGTTCCGCGCCAAAGTAATCGCTCCGAGATCACTTGAATGAGGTGGTCTCGGCTCGATTGAAACGAACCCTGGAGCGGTTTGATTGCAGTGAGAAAGCAAACGATCCGAGCGCAGTTATATCACAGTGTTTTATGGATATGTAATAGGCTTACGGCTATATGAAGAGAGAATTATGAGTAGGGCGGGAAGTTTCGCGAGTCTCCGGATGCCCGCAAACGAGTGATGATCTCCCGGTAATCTCGCGTCTCTCTCCCAGTCCTCAAATAGGCATCGTCGCGCACCCTTCTCACCCCTCCCCACCGTGTCTCTCAGACACGTCACGCGCGCGCACCCTGTCAATCACCACCAAACCACCACCTCTCCTGACAGCTGAGCGGGACGCTGCAAAATAAACCCTGACACTCTGACCAATGTGAGGAGAGTTTACTCGCATGTGACATGTTTTAGTTCTTTTGTTCCGATTAGAAACTTTGCAGTGTGAAAGCGAACCGCTCCAAGACCAAAGAGCAACAATGTAACAATTGTAATCTCTGTTTTGGAACAACTGAATCGATTCACAGGTGTGAAAGCACTCTTAGTCTTTGAATCTCAATAATCGTGACAAACAAAAAATAAAAGTCAAATAAAAACAACCCAGAACAATTCAAAACACTCTTTTTATTGAAAATATACACTCTGTTGTATTAAAAATACCAGAGAAAATATCTCTGTTGAAATATTATACCCAAGAACAAGACAAAACTAAAGGCAGAGAAAGAAATTGTAAAAAAAACTTTAAGCTGTAAAATGGATTCATGCTGCAATGCATGCTGAGAGCTTTGTACTATGCTGGCACCCAGCATGCATTGCGGCATGAATGAATTATGCAGCATTTTTTCTTTATGCCACCATGGTTGAGGTTCATACCCTGATTCTTGATGCATGTGTGTCTGAATGTCGTGCTGGAGCTCTCAAGGTTTTGTGCACAAAACTCTAATTCTTATATATATATATATATATATATATATATATATATATATATATAATATTTTTTTTATTATTATTTCCTTCTTTAATTTTTGTTGATCCTCTATGTAAAGCTGCAGTATTGTACCAAAACTTATAAAAATATTGTTATTTATAATTATATTTGTAACAATTAAGCACATTTGTGTTTCATTCTGTGTCTTAGGCTGGTTCTTGCTGAAATGAAACATGCTCGTTGCATATGTGTGAGTGCACGGTGAGGTGTTTTCATCTATCTTGTACTCATGGTTTGCATCTGTTTATGTTGGTGTAGTGTAAGCATGTGTCTCTTTGTTTACATTGTGGTCGCATGCTTTTGTTAAGTGCTTCAGTATTGTGCTTGTCTTGTCATATGAACATGTGGTTAATGAGTTCTCTCATTGGCTGCGTATTCTAGTCTTGTTTATGTGCACGCATGGCTTGATGCGTGGGTGGAACTTGTTCAGAATTGACCAGTGCACTATAATAGAGCTTTCCTCACACTGTTTATTCCTTCAAAGTCCGTCCTTTCTTCATGTGGTATTGGTGTGCGTTACTAAACTCAGTAAGTAGCCATATTCCTTATCATTTTAGATATGTTTTATTGAGTGCAATTGTGTATTTTGCTTTAAATCGCCTCAGGAAAAATATTACATGTGTAAACATAACAGCAGAGATGCATACGTGCTAAACAACTAGTTGGGTTGTTTATAATTTGATTATTTGTTATTATCAACTTGTTGCTTGCCATGTGTTGCTGATGTAAGATTGTATTTAGTTTGATCGGAATATTTATATTGATTATAACGAGTGCACCTCACGTTATCACCGCACACACACACACACATATATATCTGATCTGACAGCCTTCACAGCAGAACGGAAGAGAGATGCGCCAGTCACTGAATCCAGCATAGGGGTTCTCAACTCACCTCCACAGTCTGTCTTTATATTATACACTGTGTTTGTGATAAAGTCATCTGTGCTCAATGCACAAGTTGTTGTATCAAAATCTGACTCCGAGGGCAAATCTGCACCAGTTGAGTGAAACTCACAGTGGTTTATCATTGTTACGAGCACAGTCAAAACATCAAATAAGGGAGAACACAAATGGATAAGTCTAAGGGTTTTATTAACTGAACAACCAACATAAGCAAAGTGTGGGAGAGAAAACACAATAAACTATGGCTGAACAGAAAAGGAGCACAACTCTGTGTCTGTGTCATCTATTAATGTAGAGTTGATGCTTAATGAATAATGAAATAACTATATGCTAATGTTTAATAAATAATGAAATAACTATGTGCTAATGCTTAATGAATAGTTGATAGTGTGCAGTTATTATAAAGTGTTACTAAATAACATATTTCTAGAAAATTCCAGTAAATGGTTGGAGGCCAGAGTGATTTACAGCAGGTAAGAAGGCTACTATAGCTCTAACTATACGCTATATAAAGCAGATATAGGCAACAGGCCTTGTCAAAAGCACACAGGAGTGTGCAGCTGCACATTTGCAGAGGGGTGTGCGGGTTCAAGCGTTGTTTCCTCATCAACATGTCGCAGCTCTGAACACAACTGATCCAGGATGAAGGAGAATATGATCACACCGAACATGTCAAGACACAACAAGACCATCTCACCTCACTGACAAAGACATCTCTGTCTGTGTGTGTGTGTGTGTGTGTGTGTGTGTGTGTGTGTGTGTGTGTGATATAAGCTGATGTTTGTTTACTGACTAAATGTCAGTCTCTTTGTGTTTACAGTCTGAATCATGGAGAAGAGATGAGGATTACAGCAGGACCACACAAATGTAGGACTACACCAACACATACATATACACACACACACACACAGCTGTGGTTATAAATGTGTGTGTTCTTGTGTTCAGATACCTGTTTTCTCACACTGGATCCAAACACAGCAAACACTCTTCTCATTCTGTCTGAGGAGAACAAAAAGGTGAAGCGTGTGAAGGAGAAACAGCCGTATCCTGATCATCCAGACAGATTTGATGTTCATCCTCAGGTGTTGTGCAGAGAGAGTGTGTGTGGACGCTGTTACTGGGAGATTGACTGGAGTGGAGATGTTGTGGAAATATCAGTGTTATATAAGAGCATCAGGAGGAAGGGAGATAGTGTTGAGTGTGTGTTTGGATGTAATGATCAGTCCTGGAGTTTGCGCTGCTCTTCCTCCAGTTTCTCATTCAGACACAATAACGAAGACACTGATGTCCGAGTGGAGCCGCTCAGCAGGAGAATAGGAGTGTTTGTGGATCACAGTGCAGGAACTCTGATCTTCTACAACATCTATAGAGACACAATGAGCCTCATCCACTCAGTCCAGACCACATTCACTGAGCCGCTCTGCCCTGGGTTTACTGTTTATTCTGGATCATCAGTGAAACTGAGCTGAAGACTGATGCGAGATTTACCCAGAATCCTCTACAGGAGCTGTCAGCAGCAGTGTGTGTGAAAGAGCACATGTGTTGTCTGCGCATGTGTTCACTGTTTTGTGTGTGTGTGTGAGAGAGAGAGACAGAGTGTGTCTGCGTGTGTGAGACAGATAGTGTATGTGTTTGTGTGTGTGAGAGAGAGAGAGCATGTGTGTTTGTGTGTGTGAGAGATTTTAATTTTTACAAAACTACATAGATTTTTCATATCACAAATTGTAACTTCTCAGCAAATTTAAAAGCAGCTTTCCTTCCTCCACAGTCCAGACAGCGTCCTTGTAACCCCACTGTTGTTCAAAGGTTTCAGCATCATTTATGGCCTTGTAATTCTTCAAATCTATTGTAATTCTGGACCTAACGGACGCTTTAAAAAACTCTAAATCTCTACCATGTACATGCACTCAGTGTAAGAAGAGTTTCAACAAATTATCAAACTTTAATAATCGCATGATGATCCACACTGGAGAGAGACCATTCACAAGCACTCAGTGTGGGAGGAGTTTCAACCAATCATCATCCCTTAATCGACACATGAGGGTCCACACAGGAGAGAAACCATTCATTTGCACTCAATGTGGGAGGAGTTTTAACAGCTGATCAAACCTTAATCAACACATGGGGGTGTATATCAGGGGTGTCAAACGTACGGGATCAGGCCTGCAAACAGGTTTAATCCTGCCCACGAGATGATTCTGTAAAGTATAACGACGAGTTGCAATTTTTCAATAAATGAAGCTGCTGTTCCAATTGTGTCCACTGGATGGCCAACTGCAAATGGTTAATTTCATCTGATAAAGCAGGGATTCTCAACCCGGTGAGCAGCGGCCCACTAGTGCAGACATTTCAAGTCTCCCGGAAGTTGCGGGAGTATCCCTGAAATGCATAGACACTCCCGGATGCCTGCAAATGAATGATAATCTCCCGGAAGTCGCGCGTCTCCTGCCCGGTCTTTAAATATGTTGCACACCCCTCTCTCCACTACTTGCTCTTCAGGTACGTCTCGCGCAACTCACCCCCACCGTTTTTAGGTACGTCGCGCGCAACTCACCCCCACCGCTCATCAAGTACGTCTCGCGCGCACACGCCCCCTTCACAGATGCATTTAAGCACCCACTAATCTGCAATCTCCCGCAAATCAACTCTGTATCCCCCGGAAATGACTTTTTCCAACTTGGGATGCCTGCTAGTGGGCCTCAGCGATCCAACAGGTGGGCTACAAGAACTTAAAATGAACTCGAAATATACTTAAATGTTTGGATTTGAATATGCTATGTTAAAATGAATGCAGTAATGCACTTTCTCCTGTTCTGTGATTGATTACTTCAAACTCAGCACAAAAACAGCCTCATGATCACGTCTGCAACTAGTAGGCAACATGTAAGTCTGTTCATTCACAAACTACTGTATGCGTGAAGTTAAAGACTCTCTTTGTGTATTATTGTGTGAACCAGGGGCGTTGCTAGGGTCGAAAGGGATAAGGGGCTTAGCCTCAAAGAAGTACCCCCCACTAATATACCCCCACTTTTATAAGGTGATCTACTCTAATGTTAATAATAGGATTCTAAATGGTTTAATAAGAAATAAAGGGTTTTTGAGTTTTTTAACAATAAATTGTGAAGCTTTGTGACTTGCAACACCAAAAAGGAAAAAAAAACACTGATAAATGAACCCATTTCTCATTTACTAGTCTGTTATGAGCCATATCAGACCTCTTAAGCATCTCATTTCCTGCTGTGCAGTTTCTGTTTCTTTTTTTAAAATGTAATTTTCTGCGTGTCTTCAAATCTGAAAATATGATTTATTTTATAGTGTGAGCTGTTATCCAATGTGATACAAAGCTACACATGTCAATTTGGATAGAGTAATTAAGGTGTAGTGTTGTCAAGATACTGGAATTTCTAAATTCAAAACCTTGAAAATATTGATATTCATTAGGCTATTATTTTGATATAATAACAATTGTATCAAAGCTAGTACAAAAAATATAAATAAGGATCTATATGCTAGAAAAATGCTTACTTCAAATTTTTCAAGAGTGAGATTTTTTTTAGTTTTCCTCAAAATAGGTTGTTGTGGGCATTGTAGCACTTTAAATACATAATGCCTGTTTCATTCATTCATTGAGCAGAAATTCCATATAGTAAATCCCTAATATGGATGAAGGCATCCAGCAATTGCTGTAGCTGAATGAAAATAAGATCTGAATAAACATGAAAAGGTTTTAATTGATCATTTACACGACTGTGACAATAAATGTTTCATACAGATGAAGTCAAAATTATTAGCCCCCCTTTGAATTTTAATTTTTTTTTAATATATTTTCCATATGATGTTTAACAGAGCAGGGGAATTTTCACAGTATGTCTGATAATATTTTTTCTTCTTGAGAAAGTCTTATTTGTTTTATTTCGGCTAGAATAAAAGTTGTTGTACATTTAAAAAAAACATTTTAGGGTCAAAATGATTAGCCCCTTTAAGCTATATATTCTAACCGATAGTCCACAAATCAAACCATCGTTATACAATGACTTGCCTAATTACCCTACTCTGCATTTAAAGCCTTTAAATGTCACTTTAAGCTGTATAGAAGTGTCATAAAAAATGTCTAGACAAATATAATTTACTTTCATCATGGCAAAGATAAAATAAATGAAGATAAAGATGAATGTGTTGAAAAAAAGCTCTGCGTTAAACAAAAAATGGGGGAAAAAAACAGAGTGGCTAATAATTCTGACTTCAACTGTATGTGTTCTTCCAGCCATCTTGGGTATTATCATAAGAAAGTCGATTTATAATCCGTTGCTAACTGACATAGCATGTTACAGTAGAATGTAGCTATACAATAATATGCTGGATGCATGTGATTTAACTATTACAGAAACATGTGACTGGCTATATCATATGAAGACAAATATGTCTAGATATCTATATCATATCTAGAAAGCTAGTACAATTTACGTTTTTTTGACTAATTTGCATGTATTTACATTGATATGATGCACATTTTATTGATTGCAGTTATTTTAATTCACCAAAACTACTCGCATTTTATACTGTGAAAACAAATATTAGGCTTCATCAGTAGTTAGTACTATTCAGTTTCGCAAAACAGTTGTATTATTACCTCATCAGCTTTAGCTCTTCAAAATAATGAATGAATGAAGTGCAGTGGCAGAATTTTTTTAAACCATGTGACAACAGAGCCACTCCCACCTGCCGGTAGAAACAGGAACTGCTGAACAGCTGATTAATTAATTACTAGACACATAAACGCTGCTTTAAAGGGCAGTTGAAAAATCTACTTTTTTAGACAGACGTGTGTAAGTAAAGTGTATAGACCCTCATATTGGGGTGATATAAACACACACAGTCCTTTTTTTCAATTTTACAACAAAAAAAATGGAGGACCAATTAGAGCGGTTTTCAGACAGACCGCAACTTTACGTAAGAGTGCAGTCCCCCAACCCACCAATATTGATTGACAGCCGCACGTCACGATCATACCTCAGTTTGTTGTTACACGTCCACCATTTTCAGCATGTGAGTCAAAGCGATATCACTAAAGGAACACCCTTGCTCTACTTTTTGATGAAAAGCTCATTGGGCTCAACACAAGATGAATATTCTCCACATTATCGCTGTAATCGGAATTATTGCTTGTACCTTTTGCGTGGTCAGCGGCTCTGCGTGGGTTTCTATTAGGGTGCACGTGGCGGAGCTTCAGGTCAGCAGCCCGGCGTGGGTTTCTGTCGGGGTGCACGCGGCTGATCTTCGGGTCAGTGGCTCAGCGCGGGTTTCTGTTGAAGTGCACGCGCCGGAGCTTCAGGTCAGCGGCTCGGCGTGGCATGGGTTTCTGTCGGGGGGCACGTGGCAGAGCTTCAGGTTAGCGCCACGGGTTTCTGTCGGGGTGCATGCGGTGGAGCTTCAGGTCAGCGGCTCGGCGCCATTGTGTTTGCCTGTCTGTTGCAAACACAGAGTGTGGGAGCTCTTGACTCCGCCCGCTTGTTACGTTGGGATGGAAGCCAAAACTGTGAAGCAACATGCCCCTAAAACAGCAAACTGTGTAAACGCCCCCAAAATGACACTTTTAACACATTATAATATGTTTTCTGAACTGTTTTTTGAACTGAACCTAAACTGGCACACTCAGAAGAACCATAATATTCATATTAAATCATAAAAAAAGGGGTAAACTATGTGCCCTTCACATGGAATGCGGGTGATGTGTGTGGTAATTTTAAGTGCTTAATAATAAATGTTATACAGCATATTTTTATTTAAGTGCAACATAAGCCAATCAAGAATGTTCAGAATCAATTATTCAGAGATACGTTTAAGAGTTAAGAGAATACCTGACCATGTAGAAATACTTTGCAGCATATAAGTCCTGATGCAGAGCTCAGAGACTCACAACCTGCAATGGGGTATCCTGTCTACAGGATCACACGGACACTTCTGCACCCTTTGCCTAAATACTCAATACCATCAAAAATTCAAGACAATAAAAGCTTTACCAAGACTCTTGCCTGGTCATAAATTGATGCGAAGACCATTTCCCCTTGAGTGGAGCATCTGGCAAAGATTTTTTCAAAGTCAAAAACCAAATTAACTGAAATAAGAGAGATTGTAAAATATTACAGTGAAATT